AATAATTTCAAAGATTAAATTTACCTAAAAGGCAACTGAGAATTTCCCCTATGACCCATAGAATAGTCTGTTCTTTGTGTCTTCCTAAAATACAAAGGGAGCAATCACAGTGGTTATAGGCTCTCCCTGGAAACTTTGCCTGATAGCCTAGTGCCTTGGAAAATTGTCCCCTTTTGCTTTAAGGAGATATCCTGTCTCTGGACACACACACACACACACACACACACACACCAATTGTGGATTTAACATGAGAATGGAAAATTCATTTGACAAAGTATAAAACGTTTGCTGTTTTGAGAGACCTATGTCCCTTGTGTTCCTCTTTGGCCACCATGAATGAGTCCCATGGCTAAGAAGTGAGAGTCAGGGCTAAATGAAGCCCATTCTACTTTATAGACGTGGTGATGTGTGGTTTTACTTATGAATAAGCAACAGCTCGTGCTTGTGCAAAATGTCGATCTGTGCTCGCTTGCTGTGGGTCTCTCTCATTTAAAAAGAGGCATTTGAAGTCAAATAGAAAATGTATTATTTAACTTACTATAGGCTTCAGTGCAGAAATACAAATTATATTTTAACTTTTTAAAAATGATTGCATTAGAGAAGGAAAATAGCAGATGCGAACAACTCAGTTTAATCCTAATAATGTAGTAATCTGCCCATGATGAAATTAACAATCTGTCTTCAAAGAATAGTTTTTAAATTAATTCCTTATCTACTAAAATAAGGATGTATTTTTTACTTAGAAATTGTACTCTTTTCCCCTAAGCATGGCTCATTTAAAAAAAATCATCTAATAGAGGAAGTCATGGTATCTTTTCAAAAAGATGTTTTAATACAGTATCAGATTATACTGTAATCTAATGAGTGATAAAATGACATTTATATTGAACTCAAGATATATATTCTAAAAATGTATAAACTCAATATATTTAATGAAGATCAACTAGAAATCATTTTTCCTGTGTTTATGCAAATTTACTCCAAACTGGCTGATCATATTAATAGCTGTTTTGGAGGGAATTTCACTGATTATTGTAAAAGTAGTATATGTGGTAGAGCATACTTTACTTGAAAATTGTAGTAGGAAAAAGTAATATCTTTAAGAATTATTTTTAATCACTAAAGATAGTATAACCTAGTTATTTTTATTCTTAGCAAGAACCACATTCTGGATTAGAATATTTGAAATTTACAGTGAAAATAGTTTAGGAAATCAACAATACATTTATCAGATAGTTTACTAGGTAACAAAAAAGTGGATGCATCATTGTCATATCTTTCTTTGTGCAGTTTCCTAAAATGTCTTACTCCCAAAATAGTTGACATGCAGACGGCATAGATTCATTGTATATTAAAAAATTCTCACCTCACATAATCCAAAAAAAAAAAAAAAATGCAGTTAGAGTTAGGTAAAACATTTTTATTCATAACAATAAATGACCTCTTAAATTTGTCATCAGAGAAGCCCAGGTTTTTTACAAACTGTAAATAAAATGTTTCTAATACTGTCAACTCTTTGCAACTTTTTTTCATAAATTTCAATGTTCAAGATAAACAAGCACTTTTTTTATTTTTATTTTTTATTCCTGTCAAAAATGACTGGCCAATATAGAGGTGGAAGATAGGCAGAGATGGTTCAGCTATTAGAAAGAAATGTTAAATGGAGAATAAGTTATGAAATGCTATTGAATAAATACCAAAAATATATAATATGTCATTCTATTTTGTGGTTAAAGAAAAGGAATAACAGTCAGGAATAAAAGAAAAAGAGGAAACAAGAAGAAGGAGTGAAGACAGAATGAAGGCTTTAAGTTTTGAGGCATGTTTATTAAAGGTAAGCTGTTCAGATCACACCTAGTTGTGGCATGCAGGGGAAATTATTTCTTGTTGAAATATTAGTCAGTTGATTAACTGCTGTAACAAGTCAGTCCTTAAACATGGAAAAGTTTCTTGAAATAGGGCAAATGTAACTACTTTTTAACTCTGATGAACCATCTTCCCTATGTAGCACAGCTAGGTCCAAGTATGAACTGCCACAGGGTAGGGGAATGGACGGTGAGCCGTATTCTGAGCAGTAACATTTCACATAGAGAAGAATATGGACTAGAGATTTCTACTTTTCATCTTCACCAAGATTTATAGGGAAATGAAAAGTAGAGAAAATGTCAAGACCATCTCTGAGATAATGATTTCCAGTTTAAGATTTCGATTTCCTAATATCCAAACATTTCCTTAATATTAAACAAAATTGCTTAATTAAATTGTATTTATGTACTGAATGTCCCTCCCTCTCAAAAAATATCCTTGCTGTTTTCTGAGTGGCAGTCATGGGTTTCATAATTTTCCTGGATCTTTTTGGGCCTTGGTTGACGTGTACTCAATAGCAATGATTTCCCAACCATTGCTTCTGAAATAAGTTGGAATCAATATCTAGCAACTGTTATTCCTTCAATAATTCTTCAGATTCCTGGATTGGTCTATTAGTTAGCTGTTGCCACAATAATACTGCATAATAGGTTACCTAAATCTCAGTGGCATTTAGGAAGCACTTATTTCTTGCTCACATGTTGGTTGGGGTTTGACTGACCTAGGTTGTCTTCAGCTGTGCTTGGCTTCAAGATGAAGATTGGGCCCAGGTCTGCTGTGCCTTTCTTTCAGCCTCCTTGGACCAGCAACTATGTGAGGCATATTCTTCTCATGGCAAAAGACAGCATAAATGTGTAAAAGCTCAAACCAGCAAGAACATTTTAATCCTCTCCTGTGTCACTTGTGCTAACATTTCACTGGCCGAAGCAAGTCCTATGGCCAAGGCTAACATCAAAGAGGAAAGAAAATATGCTTTGTCTCTAGTAAGAGGTTCTGCAAAGTCATGTAACAAATGGCATGGATATGGGAAGGAGTGGAGAATTGGGAACAATAATTCAATCTGACATGCTCCATTTTCTAGATCACAATCGTTCACATGCCTTCCACACACAAAATGCCTTAATCTTAATATCCTCTTTCCCCAAACATCCCAGAATTCTCATCTGTTTATAGCATCAGTTCAAAATCCAGGGACTTGTGATCTGTATCAGGTCCAGAAGCAACTTCTCTTGACCTGGAGACTTATGAATTTAAAAGACAAGTAATCTCATCTCTCCCTACTCTAATACACACTCCCAACACAAAACTGTGAAAGAGGGACAGGATTATCACAATGAACACTCAGAAAAGGATGAGAGGTGCATAGCAGTCACTGGTCCATAGCAATTATGAAATAGTACTGGACAAATGTTGCCAGGTATCATTATGCTGGAGGGAAGGAATGTTCCTTGATTATGTCCTTATTCTGCTCGCTAAGAATTAGCTAGAGAGGAAAGGGGGTTGTATCAACACTTACCCTGGTGAATGTTTTTAGAAACCATCAGAGTTTTCAAGATAAAGAAAAAAATCTGTTTTGAATTACTTTTTACTTTTTCTGTGCTTCTTTAATATGACATCTTCTAGGACAGAATCACACAGGTCTTCAGATTTGTAAAGCTTTCAGTGATATGTAAAAATATCCTTTCATTTCTATATTTTATTAAAAATTACTTAATTTTGTGACTTAGTAATATATTTTAAAAGAGCCCTAGTGATGCAACAGGTAAGTGTTCAGCTGTTAACCAAAAGGCCTGCAGTTCAAACCCACCAGTGGCTCTGCGTGAGAAAGACCTGGCGAATCTGCAATCTCTAAGGATTATAGCCAAGAAAACCCTATGGAGCAGTCCTACTTTGTCACAAGGGGTCACTATGAGTCTAAATTGACTCGATGGCACCTAACAGCAACAACAATATATTTTAATGGCTCAAACATCAAAAGGTATAAAAAGACACAAAGTAAACAATCCGCCTCCTGGTATATTTCTGTTTTTTCTGCTTTTTTACACAAAATTGTAATATACTATAAGTATTCTGCAACTTTTTTTACTTAAAATATTTTATATATTTTTCTATATCAATCCATAAAGAACTCCTAAATTATTTTTTAGAGACGTTTATTATTCCATTTAATGGATATACTATAATTTATTTAATCTGTCCGCTATTAATGGACAGCTAGGGTATTCCCAAAGTTTTGCTGTTACAGATGGTGTTGAAATGAATGATATGGCACATATGTCTTTTTACAGATGGATGAGTATATTTTTAGGAAGAAAATCCTGTAAGTGGAAATGTTGGGTCAAAGGGTTTATGGGTTTATAATTTTGAAAAGAAGAGGGTCACCAAAAAAGAGGAAGACCCTCAATGAGATGGATTGACACAGTGGGCTCAACATACTTAATATTGTGAGGTTGGCACATGACCAAGCAACATTTCATTCTGTTATAAATATGGTCACTATGAGCTGCAGCCGGCCCAATGGCACATAACAACAATCAACAATTTTGAAAGAAACTACCAAATAATCTTGCATGCAATTTCTAACAATACTTACTCCCACCAATAATATAGGGAGGGCCTCTTTATCCACCATCTTGCCAATAGTGTGTTAACAGACCTTTGGATTTTGGCCAGTTTTTTCAGTGAAAAATGAAGTTGCATTTCTTTTATTATGTATGAAGAATAACTTCCTTCATGTATTTAAATCTGTTTCTGGCCTTTTGGTTTTCAAAAAATGGACTGTTCTTAGATGGGACCATTTTCTTTGGGGTTTTGTCTTACTGTCTGCAATAAATATTAGGTGAATGAATATTTTATAGGAGCTGCATATATACCAAGGAAATTCAGCCTTTTTAAGTTATTTGAGTTGTAAATACTTTTCCTATTTATTGGCTTTGTGTATAGTTTATAAGAAACTATTTCACAGGTTTTTTTGCTTTTAATATGGCCTAATTTATAAATTTTTATTTTATGGTAGCATGGTGGTTAAGCACTCATCTGCTAACCAAGAAGTCAGCGATTCAAACTCACCAGCCACTCCACAGAAGAAAGACGTGGCAGTCTGCTCCCATAAAGATTATAGCCTTGGAAACCCTATGCGGCAGTCGTACTCTGTTCTGTAGGGTCACTATGAGTTGGAATCTGCTTGATGGCAACAGGTTTTTAGTTTTTGTTGTTTTTTGTTTTTAGATTTTGTGTAATAGAAATGCTTCCCCTCACTTTTTATAACTCAGTGTTATAAAAAGATTTCTCCTGTACATTTCTTTTAGTACTTTATTTTTTTGTTACATTTAATGTCTGATTTTGTTAAATTTTTTTCTGATGTATATATAGGATAGAGATTCAACTATATTATTTTTCTGTATGGCTGTCCACTTGTCTCAATATCATTTGTTGTATAGTCCATCTTTTCTCCACTGATTTGAAATGCCATTTTTATCAGATACCAAAGTTCTGTATATTTTGGAGTCTATTTCTGAACTTTCTTTTTTTTTTTCCTTTACATCTCTGTCTATGCAGTAGTTCTATATGGTTTTAATTACTGAGACTTTATGATGTTTTATGTGTAGAATTAGTCAATCCTTGTTATTCTTCTTTTTCAGAAATTTCCTGGCTATTACTGTTTATTTTTTCATACAAACTTTAGAATGACCTTATTCTTTCTGGAAAAAAAAAAATGACTTCGTTTGGGATGCCATTTACAAATTAACTTAGAGAAGATTGTCTTTATGGTGAGTTTTCCTATCTAAGAACATAGTATGCTTTTCTATCTGTTCAGGTTGTCTTTCATGCCCTTTAGACATGTTTTAAAAGTCTTCTTCATATGATCCTTGCATATTTCTCATTAGATGCTATTCTTTCTAATTCTGTTATGGCTCAGCACATGTGATGCTGAGAAAGAAGGACTTGTAGCTGCTTTAACCCTGATTCTACCTCTAGATTCCTGCAAGATTAGAAGAAATAGACAGATGATGCAATAAGAAGGCAGGTAAAAATCAGGGGACAGGTAGGTAGATGTAGCATTTGGGTACTAACTAGCTTTTGCTATCCTGTCCATTAGAAAGCCACCAGATTTGTCTGGCACACACAGCATAGGAAAAGCACAATGTATAAAGATATGCCTTGGATGGCAGGACCATTATCATTTAAAAACAGAAAAGAAATGCAGCTAAGAGTTTTTATTCATAGGCTTTGCTGCATCTGTCCTAAATAACAGTGACTTTAGTGACTTTCTCACACAAACGAGTTCTGATTATAGGAACTTCCAACATTGGTATGGTAATTCCATAAATAAGTGGTCCAGACTCCTTATTTCTTTTTCCTGTGCTATTCTTAGAATGTGGTTTCCATTCTCAAGTTTGCCTTGTGGTTCAAGATGGCTGCTAACATTCTCGCTGTGTCCACATTTCAGGCAAAAAAAAAGGGATCAGGGCAAAAAGTGAGTGCCTCCAAGCTAATTCAACCCTCTTCTAAGACCTTTTCAGAAGCTCCACACTTTCTCGTTTCACCTCATTATATCTGTATAAGAGGCTGCTCCCAAATAAGGATTTTGTTACTACGGAAGAAAGAGACAGTGGATATCACGGAGGCAACTTCTTGTCCCCATCATAAGAAGTAAACATATTTTCATTTTCTCTTCTAAGTGTGTTGAGAAGGAAGAAGGAAAATACCAAGAAGGAAATATGAAAGTGATTATTTCTCACACGTTTAGGGTAATTTAAGACGACCTAGTGTTCAGCAGGAAACAAACCCTGGTGGTGTAGTGGTTAAGCACTACGGCTGCTAACCAAAATCTGGCAGTTTGAATCCACTAGGCACTCCTTGGAAACTCTATGGGGCAGTTCTACTCTGTCCTGTAGGGTCGCTATGAGTCGGAATTGACTCAACGGCAACAGGTTTTTTAGTGTTCAGCAAAACCTGAACAGGAAATCATTGCTTTGGTTGTGTAGTTTTTTGACTCCAAAATGTTTTGAAGACTAATTGAACCACACATCCTCTTTTTCTTCCTCAGAGTTGAGGAACCCCAGTGAGGAATTAAAATACAGTCCCCAAACGGTACAGTTGTACAGTTTGATTAAAATGTCGTCCCTGCCTTTGGCAACGACAATCTAGTGTGGGAGGTAGATAAATAAAGAGATGCTCTAGTTCGGGCTGATGAGTGATCTGAGAGAGGTGAGCACAGGCTGAAAGGAAGTACGTAATAGAAGCACCTGACCAAGGGTGATGGGAAAGTGGTATCAGGAAGGGATTGTTGTTAGCTGCCATCGAGTGGGCTCCAACTCACGACGACCTTAGGTGTAACAGAACAAAACATTGCCTGGTCCAATGCCGTCTTCATGGTCACTGGTATGTTTGAGTCCACTGTTTTGGTTATTGTGTCAGTCCATCTCACTGAGATGTTTTTGGTCAGGAATGGGAGGGAGTGATGAAACTTGAGCTGAGTTCTGAAGGACAAGTTGCCACGTAAGGTGTGAATAGACAGAGGGGAAGAGGAGGAGGTGGTGGGAAGATAGAATTAGTTGGCTAGAGAGAAAAGCTGGTGAGCAGAAAACTTGCCCAGGAGGAGAGCAGCATATGTGAAGTCTTGAAAGTGAAAGAGAGCACAGTTCCTTTAAGAACTTTGTCAGGTCTTACATCTATCCTCAATTAAGAAAGAGATGAGGGTGAAGAGGACCAAACTAATTAATTTTTACTTTATCCTTCAGTGCAAGAGTCATTGAAGGATTTGAAGCAGAGAAGCGATGTGCTCAGATTTGCATTTTAGAAAGATTATTTTAGAGGCACAGTGAGAATGGATTGGAAGTCAGCAAAATCCAAGAAAAGGGGCAGTATAATCCAGACAAGAAATAATGAGGGCCAGAACAGTTTGAGAGTGGGAGTGACTTTTGAGTAATTAAGAGAGAAGATCTCCAGGCCTTGGAACTGAATGAATCAGGAAGTGAGAAAAATGGGGCAAATAAAGGAAGATGATTTCTGGTCTGCTATTATGGATTGAATTGTTTCCCACCAAAGTATGTGTTGTAACCCTAACCCCTATAACTATGGATGTAATCCCATTTGGGAGTAGGGATTTGTTATGTTAATGAGGCCATATCGGTGTTGGGTGTGTCTTGAGCCAATCAGTTTTGAGATATAAAAGAGCAGATTAGGCATAGAAGAAAGCAAGCACAAATGGGAAAAGATTGATACCACATGGAAATCACCAAGGAACCGAGGAAGAGAAGCTGAAAGAGACAAAGATGTTTCTCCAGAACTGACAGAGAGAGCCGTCCCCTAGTGCCGGCACCCTGAATTTGGATTTCTAGCCTCCTAAACTGTAACAAAATAAATTTCTGTTCACTAAAGCCATGCACTTACAGTATTTCTGTTATAGCAGCAGTAGGTAACTAAGAAACCTGGGCAAACTGTGAAAAACACTGTTATTCATTAACATATGGAAAACAGAGGGGAGATAGATTTTGTAGAGAAAATAAGATACTCAGTTTTATGTGGGATAAGTTTAAGGTGCTAATGGGACATATCTGTGGAATTATACAGGGTTCGAAATTTGGGAAAAGAACTGAGCAGGAGAAATGAATTTAAAGGCAGTTCAAGCCATGTGACTAAACCAGGATGAGTAGGTAGAGTGAAAATAGGAGACAATTTTGAGTACCACAACACTTAAGAAGAGGAAGATGAATGAATAAAAGATCCAGAGAAGGAGCAGAAAACATGTGGAAGTAAAACAAGATGAGAGTAGCATTGTGGAAACCAAGGAAGGCATTTCAGATGCTACAGATATCAAGAAGATTAAGAGCTGAAATAGCCGTTGAGTTTAGCAATATAAACATCACTGAGGACCAGTGCAGGGTAGCTTTGGTGGGATGGTGGGAGCAGAAGTCAGATTATAGTGGGACAAGGAGTGAATATCTAAGGAGGAAGATAAATGTAAAATGCTTTCAAACAGTGATGCTCATTGGATTAGGGAGAAGCATACAGCTTTTTAAAGATGAAGTGTCTCGCGCAAGTTTAAATGCTGATGGGAAAGAGCCATTAAAAGGTGGGAGGTGATATAGGCAAGAGGGGATAATCAAGGCAAGCCTCTGAGAACTCAGAAGCAAGAGTAATCCAGAGCACATATGAAAGGATTAACTTTGAAGGAGGAGGAACAGATCTTTCAGTAGAGTGGAGGAAAGGAAACCTGGATAGATATGACTAAGAGGTTTATAGTGGGAAGAGGGCATCAAAGAGAGTCACAATAGTTTCTAATGGCTAATTGAGGAGAGAACTAAGAACAGATTTTGAGTCAACCCTACAGCCCTGTGAGGATGGACACCTCAATTTGTAGTTCCTTCAATCACGGGCTGTCATTTTCTCCTGTAGTGCTTAGCAATTCAGGTGTAAGGTGGCCCTCGTGCACAATTTGATTCTTTCAGGGTTGAAGTTCTCCTAATGGGTATGAAAGGAGGAAAAATAGACCAGGAAAGACAAGGGCCTTGTTGGTTTGGACAGTAAAGTTCTTAGATTGGAAAGGAAGAGAAGAGTAAAAGAGACCAATTGAGGAGAAATCTGTAAGGATGGACATGAGATTAGATCTTGTTGATATTCTAAAATTAATCATAATCAAAATGAGGACAACTGGAAGTTTGATTATAGAGGGGGCTTTGCAGTACTATGATTCCTCTGTCAAGTTCAAGATTGACAACGATATTTAAGTGAATGTTAAATTGTCATAACTTCCTCCACAATAATTTTGCCTCGTGAATTATCAATTATTATCATAAGATACTGATATTTTATTTAAAATATTTTCTAAAGTGCTTAACATATAAAATATTGTTTTAGTAGGCCCAGTAACTGTGGAATTATGAAAATGAGGCATTAAAGTATAGCTCATTTCATTTGATGTTTAAGATTCTTAGTTGTGCTGTGGTTTAGTGTCCCTCTTTTATACCCACTTAAGATAAATATTTTTTATTTACAAGTGATCATTTGCACTTTAGATGTTTTCTAATGATATATTTCAAAGACTGGATTGGACCCATTGTTATAATAGATTATTTCCAGTATTTCTCTTAGAATAGTGATTCTTTTTGTTATAGAATGGGATGTTCTTGGTTAAAAAAAAAAAAAAAAGACCAAACCCATTACCATTGAGTCTTGGCTCCTATTCATAGTGACCTTATGCATAATAGAACAAAGCATTGCCCAGTCCTGCGCCATCTTCATGATCATTGATATGTTTGAGTCCTTTGTTGAGGCTGTTGTGTCAATCCATCTCATTGAGGGTTTCCCTCATTTTCACTGACTTTACCAAACATGATGTCTTTTTCTAGAGATTGGTCATTCCTCATGACATGTCCAAAGTAAGCGAACGTAAGTTTTGTCATCCTTTCTTCTAAGGAACATTCTGGTTATATTTCTTCTAAGACTGATTTGTTCATTCTTCTGTCAGTCCACAGTACATTCAATATTCTCTGGCAACACCACAGTTCAAATCTCCATGAATGGGATACTACTCATTTATTTTCAGCAGGTCTTAGTAAATACTGCATATAGCGTCTTTAAACTTTCTTTTTTAGAGTGACTAAAAACAAAACAAAACAAAACCCAAACCCTTTGCCGTTGAGTTGATTCCGACTCCTAGCAATCCTATGGGACAGAGTAGAACTGCCCCAGAGGGTTTCCAAGGGGTGGCTGGCGAATTTGAACTGTGGATCTTTTGGTAAGCAGCCGTGGCTCTTAACCGCTGCACCATCAATGCTCTTTAAATAATAAAAAAGCTCCATTTTTAGAAACTTTTTTCATTATTTCTCAAAACTCAGAGTTTTGAATTAATGAGTTTTAAGCACACTACAACTTTTTGCAATTCATTTAGACTTATAATTTAGTATATTATTGGTGGGTTTTAGTTAGATATCTATTTACTTTTTTCATTTGACCTTTTTTTTTTAGTTATTGGCCTTTAGGTGAAACTTTACAGAAAATTAGTTTCTCATTAAACAATTTATACGCAAATTGTTTTGTGACATTGGTTGCAATTCCTATGATGTGTCAACACTCTGTCCTTCCACACGTTGATTCCCGGTTTCCATCTGTCCATTTTTCTTGTCCCATCTCGCCTCTTGAGACTTCATCTCATATACTTTGGACATGTTATCAGGAGGGACCAGTCCCTGGAGAAGGACATAATGTTTGGTAAATTAAAGGGTAAGGGAAAAAGAGGAAGACCTTCAAAAAGATGGACTGACACAGTGGCTGCAACAGTAGACTCAAGCATAACAACAACTATGAGGATGGCGCAGGACTGGGCAGTGTTTCGTTCTGTTGTACATAGGGTCACTGTGAGTTGGAACCAACTCACGACACCTGACAACAAGAACATACATGATTGAACTAAGAAACGCATTCCTTGCATGTGTTATTGTTTGTTTTATAGACCTGTCTCGTTTTTGGCTGAAGGGTGAACTTCGGGAGTGGCTTCAGTTCTGAGTTAAAAGGGTGTCCAGGGGCTATAGTCTTGGGGTTTCTTCCAGTCTCTGTCAGACCAGTAAGTCTGGTCTTTTTGTGTGCGTATGAATCTGAATTTTGTTCTACATTTTTCTCCTGCTCTGTCCTGCACCCTCTATTGTGATCCCTGTCAAACTGGTTGGTGGTGGTAGCTGGGCACCATCTAGTTCTTCTGAGCTCAGGCTGGTAGAGGCTGTGGTACTTGTGGTCCAGTAGTCCTTTGGATTAATATTTCCCTTGTGTCTTTGGTTTTCTTCATTCTCCTTTGCTCCAGACAGGATGGGACCAGTAGATATATCTTAGACAGCCACTCGCAAGCTTTTAAGACCCCAGACGCTAGTCACCAAAGTTGGATGTAGAACATTTTCTTTATGAACTTTGTTGACCCCCTTGACCATGGTCCCCAGCCTTCAGCCCCAGTAATTCAGTCTCTCAGGGTTGTTTGATGTGTCTGTGAAGCTTCTATGACTTCGCCTTGGTCATGTGCTGACTTCCCATATATTGTGCACTGTCTTTCTTTTCACCAAAGTTAACACTTATCTAGTATCTAGTTAAAGATTTTCCCTTCCCAACCCTCCCCTCCCTCTTAACCATCAAAGATTGTTTCTTTCTGTGTGTAAACCTTTTCTTGAGTTTTTATAATAGTGGTCTCATGCAGTATTTGTCCTTTTGTGATTGACTTATTTAACACAGCATAATGCCCTCCAGATTCATACATGTTGTGAGATATTTTGCAGATTCATCATTGTTCTTTATCATTTCATAGTATTTCATTGTGTGTATGTACCATAATTTGTTTATCCATTCATCTGTTGATGGACACGTAGGTTGTTTCCATGTTTTTGCTGTTGTGAATGATGCTGCAGTGAATATAGGTGTGCGTATGTCTATTCGTGTTACAGCTCTTATTTCTCTAGGATATATTCCTAGGAATAGGATAGCTGGATAGTATGGTATTTCTATTTCTAGCTTTTTAAGGAAGCGCCATCTTGTTTTCCATAGTGGTTGTACCATTTTACATTCTCACCAGTACTGCATAAGAGTTCCAATCTCCCCACAAACTCTCCAGTATTTGTTATTTACTGTTTTTTGGATTAGTGCCAGTATTGTCAGGGCGAGATGGTATCTCAGTGTAGTTTTGATTTGCATTTCTCTAATGGCTAATGATCATGAGCATTTCTTCAAGTGTCTGTTAGTCACCTGAATCTCTTCTTTGGTGAAGTGTCTGTTCATGTCTTTTGCCCATTTTTTAATTGGTGTATTTGTCTTTTTGTTGTTGAGGTGTTGCAGTATATTGTAGATTTTAGAGATTAGACCCTTGTTGAATATATTATAGCCAAAAATTTTTTCCCATTCTGTGGGTTCCCTTTTTACTCTTTTCATGCAGTCTTTTGATGAACATAAATGTTTAATTTTTAGGAGCTCCCAGTTATCTAATTTATCTTCTGATGCTTGTGCATTTGTTAGTTATTGTCCATATCCCATTGATGCCATATATTAGGGCCCCTAGTATTGTCCTTATTTTTTCTTCCATTAACTTTATAGTTTTAGGTTTTATATTTAGGTCTTTGATCCATTTGGAATTAGTTTTTGTGTATGGTGTGAGATATGGGTCCTGTTTCAGTTTTTTACAGATGGACATCCAGTTATGCCAGCATCATTTGTTAGAAATTGTCTTTTCCCCATTTAATGGACTTTGGCCCTTTGTCAAAGATCAGCTGGCCATAGGTGGACGGATTTATGCCTGGGTTCTCAATTCTGTTCCATTGGTCTATATGGCTGTCATTGTACCAGTGCCAGGCTGTTCTGACTACTGTGGCTGTATAATAGGTTCTGAGATCGGGCAATGTGAGGTATCCTACTTTGTCCTTCTTTTTCAATAATGCTTTACTTATCCGGGGCCTGTTTCCTTTCCACGTAAAGTTAGTAATTAGTTTTTCCATCTTGTTAAAGAATGCTGTTGGTATTTGGATCGGGATTGAGTTATATCTGTAGATTGCTTTGGGTAGAATTGACATTTTTACACTGTTGATTCTTCCTATCCATGAGCATGGTATATTTTTCCATTTATATAGGTCTCTCCTGGTTTCTTGAAGTAGTATTTTGCAGTTTTCTTTGTATAGGTGTTTTACATCCCTGGTCAGATTTATTCCTAAGAATTTAATTTTTTAGGGACGATTATAAATGGTATTGCTTTCTTGATTTACATTTCAAGGTTCTCTTTATTGGTGTATAAAAATCTAACTGATTTTTGTATGTTGACTGTGTATCCTGCTACTCTGCTGAATCTATTAGTTCTAGTAGTTTTCTTGTGGAATCTTTGGGGTTCTCTATGTATAGTATCATATCATCTGTGATAGTTTTACTTCTTGCTTTCCAATTTGGATGCCCTTTATTTCTTTTTCTTGCCTACTGCTCTAGCTAGGACTTCCAGCACAGTGTTAAATAGGAGTGGTGATAAAAGGCATCCTTGTCTTCTTCCTGGTGTCACGGGGAATACTTTCAGCCTCTCTCCATTGACAATGATGTCAGCTTTTGGTTTTGTATAGACGTCATTTATTATGTTGATGAATTTCCCTTCTATTCCTATTTTGCTGAGAGTTTTTATCAGGAATAAGTGTTGAACTTTATTAAATGCCTTTTCTGTGTTGATTAAGATGATCATGTGATTCTTCTCTTTTGTTTTATTTATGTGGTGGATTACATTGATTTTCTAATGTTGAACCATCCTTGCATACCTGATAATGAATCCCACTTGATCGTGGTGTATTATTCTTTTGATATGATGCTGAATTCTACTGGCTAGAATTTTGTCAAGAATTTTAGTATCTATATTCATTAGAGATATTTGTCTGTAATTTTCTTTTTTGTGATATCTTTGCCTGGCTTTGGTATCATGGTTATGCTGGCTTCATAAAATAAATTTGAAAATATTCCTTTTCTGTGCTCTGAAATAGTTTGAGTAGTACTGGTGTGAGTTCTTCTCTGAATGTTTGATAGAATTCTGCAGTGAAGCCATCTGGGCCAGGGCTTTTTTTTTGGTGGGGGGGAGTTTTTTATTACCTCTTCTTTCTCTTATTATGAGTCTGTTCAGATTTTCTATCTCAGTTTGTGTTAGTTTAGGTAGGTAGTGTGTTTCTAGAAATTTGTCCATTTCCTCTACATTTTCATATTCATTAGAGTACAATTTTTCATAGTATTCTGCTATTTCAGCTTTTATTTCAGCTGAGTCTGTTGTAATGTCCCTCATCTCATTTCTTTAATTTAGGTTATTTGCTTCCTCTCCTGCTTTTCATTTGTCAGTTTGGCCGGTGGTTTGTTGATTTTGTTGACCTTTTCAAAGAACCAACTTTTGGTCTTGTTGATTGTTTTCTATTGTTTTTCTGTTCTCTGTTTCATTTATTTCTGCTTTCTATTTCCTTCCTTCTGGTGGCTGTGGGCTTCTTTTGCTGTTCTCTTTCTATCTGTTCAAGTTGTAGGGCTAAAGTTTTGATTTTGGTCCATTGTTCTTTTTGATGTGTGCATTTATTGCTATAAATTGACCTCTGTGCACTGCCTTTGCTGTGTCCCAAAGGTTTTGGTATGATGTGTTTTCATTCTCATTTGACTCTAGGAAATTTTTCATT